AAGACATTTTTTTTTTTTTTTTTGAGACAAGGTCTTGCTATGTAGTTCAGGCTGTCCTTGAAGTCAATATGTAGCCCAGGCTGGCCTCCAACTCATGGCGATCTTCCTGCCTTAGCCCCCGCAAGTGCTGAGATTACAGGCATGCACCACCATACCCAGCTGGTAATAACTACTAAAAAGAAAGTACCTACCTGCACAAGAAGCAAGCCAGCTTACCTTCATGGAGTCAGAGTATAAAATGTATTCCCTGAGCACAGGTAGGAAGTCTTCGGTCATGTCATCTGTCAGCTCTTCCAAGGCTGTGGAGCAGCTCCCGATGCAAGCTGACACACCCTCTAGGGGTTCCGCCAGCTCACCTTCTAAAGCACTCCACGTGGAGTACACAGGCCCATATTCCCTCAGCTCTACAAGGTATTCTGAAGAGAGAAAAGAAATGATTGCTCTGTCTGGGTAACAAATCACTTTATTGGCTCAAAAATCGCCAGCCAAGAACTCTCCACGTAAGATGTCTTTCCTTGGCAATTACTCAATTGAGCATAGTTTTTTAAATACAACACTGTCTCTAATGTAACTTTTAAAACCTCTAAAAGCTAATGCTACAACTGACATCAGAACATCCAAACCTCTAGATACCACAATGCCTTACAGAGGAGAACGGTAAGAAACATCTTCAAAAATAACTGCTTGACCACCCATACTGTGAGGCAGTATTTTCTCAGGTGCTGGGGAGAAACTTTTGTGTTGGTTTAGGGGGTTTTTTGGAGGAGGAAAATCAATTACAATGGAAACCTGGAATTTCAGGAAACACTTTGCTGGAAGAGATGCGGTCTTCCACAAGCAGACTCACTCACTCAGTGGGCATCCCAACATCTCAGTCCCATTAGCACTTACTCCACATGATCCTCAGGTGCGATAGCACCCAGAGAGATCTTGGCAGGCCCTAGAGAATACCATCAGCATATAGCGAGTGGGGAAAAGTACAGAGAACGAGAAGAAAAGTGTTGATCTCTCCTCACTTCAAGGAAAAATCTGATCTTTCATTTGTCACTAGGATTCTTATTACAGTGGAATTGCCACAGTCAGTGTTGAATCACCAATGGACGACAGCCGCTGAAGAATGTGCCTCATGTCGGCATGACCATTATCACTGTTCAGGTTTTCCTGGCCTGCGTGTGGAAGACAAGGAACCCAACATTCTGGAACATGGCAAAGCAGGTGGCCATGACAGGAGTGGGAGGGCAGCGGTGGCAACAAGAAGAAGCAGTGGACACAGGCCCTGGCAACTCCCCGACTGAGGAGGGTGGATGTGAAACGAAGCAAGGGCAGGCAGAGTGAGCAGATTTAAATTTACAAGGTTCATTAGGGCCATGACTTTGGCAAACACCAATCATCACGCTCTACCCTTTTGAACCATCCTTCTGCCAGAAAAGGTAACTAGGTATGTTTTTTCAAAATATCATTCCAGGGCCCGAGGATTTGGCTCTGTGGTTCCACTGCCTGCCTTGCAAGTACAAGGGCCCAAGTTCGATCCCCAGTACCAAAAAAAAAAAAAAAAAAAAAAGAAAAGAAAAGAAAAATACACACACACACACACACACACACATATTCCACTAGGCGAAGGAACAAATGAATCCACATCTCCACTTTTAAGGCTAAAGGAGGAAAGACCTGGAAGCACAGAAGTGTTTGCTTCCTATGGGAAAAGCAAACACAAGGCTGAGATGCAGAACAAAATGGGGTGAAAAATTATAGCCTAGTCCTCCCCTCCCTGTATTTACTTGTCTTATATGTAAAATATGGCCTAATTCTATCACTGTCATGTTTCTTCAGTTTGAATCTGCTTAGCACAGATGAATGCCACTCCCACCACTGCAGTGCCTGGGCACAATCAAGTCTCAACAAAGAGCTCACCTATTTCTTCTTTGATGATTCGCTGGGCTATCCGATCAATGGTTCCCAGTTTGAGTGCAAAAGTATCTAAGTATTCGCCTACGGCTGCAAACTCCAAAGGTCGACTCCTCAGCTTGTAGCCTCCAGTGACATGTTTGACCGACTCGCCCACTCTGGTCAGCAATGCTATCCCCTGCTTCCTGTAGGCGTTCAGGTCCTAAGGATGACACACCAACAAACAAAGCATTCAGGCACTTGCACAGCCAAGATTCACTGACCAATTCCTGACAGCTGCTTCTTTTTAGAAATGGAAGCCTGAGAAAACAAAAGCCAAGTAGAAGACCAGGTCACATTCACACAAGTGTGCCCTCCTCACATCCACAGCCCCCTCAAAGGAGCTGGACTCCAGTCCCCCTAGACAAGTTCACTCACCTCGGCACTGTGTCCTTCAAACACACACTGCTTCAAGCATAAGTTTTTATATCTGTGACAAGCAAAGGAGGAGGTAGAAACCCACCCTACATTGTCTTTAGGAGCAAAATTAAGGAGCTGAAATTCTGAGATTCATCCCATTAACTTTTTTTTTTTTTTTTTTTTTTTTTTTGAGACAGGGTCTCACTATGTAGTTAAGACTGACCTAGAACTCACTATGTAGCCCAGGCTGGTCTTGAACTCACAGGGATCCTCCTGCCTCAGCCTCCCGAGTGCTGCGATTATAGGCGTGCGCCACCACACCCGGCTTCATTAACTTATTTATATGCCAACTGAAGCCTATAAGAAGAGTAGAGTAGAGGATAGAAAGCATAAATCAGGGACCCAGGAGGCACTGCTAGAAAACTTGGGTAAGGACAGGTGGGGGCGTGGGTTACTAGGGATAGAACTCTGCTCCTAGCACTTGCAAGGCAGGTGGCAGAACCATTGAGCTAAATGCCCAGCCCAGGGCAGATGTTATTAATGAGAAGATATTTTATCTCTGAATTTCTTGTAGGTCAAGGCAAAAATAGGAAATATCTTCAGTCTTAGAACCCACTGTATCTAAATTTAAAAAGTATTATGAGCCTGACAGGTAAAACCCTAAACTAAACTCACTTCTAAACTTCTAAACTGTTTATGAAGAACATACATATCTAACATACAGTTATCTTCAGGTTGTACTATTTCACTTAACAATCTCTTCAAAAATCGCTTTTATGGAAGATGCAGGTGTCTTTCTCTTAACCATCTTCCATACATGCAGAAACAATACTGAACTAGGGCCAGAATATGCTCTGTTTAAAGGCATCTTTCCTGCATTCGCTCACATGAAGTTGGAGTTTGAGATGTTAAAAGATCTTACATATTTTTAAGAATCATTTTCATACTGTTTGGCCCATCAGTCAATCAATCAACCCCATACAATATTTCCTACCTATTCTTCATACAGCTTCCTAACCACCGGGGTCCACGCTGCACACACCCACAAACACTCTTTTCTTTTTTGTTGAATAAGGAGGATGCCAGAGGTTCTGACAAACAAACCTAAAACTTGGATGAGAAAGTTTGTTGCAATTCTGGAAAACAGTTTTGCTTTGAATACAAGCTGAAAGAACGGAAACTTGAAGATCAATTCAACTGGAAATGCTAGTTTTAAAAAGTGTATGCGTTCAACCTGAGGAGAAAAGGCTTTGGGGTATGGTAACAATGAATGGGTTATTACCAAGGCTAAATATCAACTGAGGTTACAAAACAGAACTAAAAGATGGCCAGGTGGGTTTCATTTAGTGAAGAATGAAGCCTTTTCTAAAGCTTTAAATATCAACCAATGTTATCAGTAAATGTCTCAATTTTGCCACTTTGACCAAAAGAAAAAAAGACATTATCTGAGCCTCAATACCCTTGCCAACACGGAACACACTGCCAGAGGCCTGAATAGGAACTAGGATACCTGACGCCCGACGCCAGGGGGCTGGGAGGGAGCTGGTGTGACGGTTTCAGCATGTGGCCCCCACTCCCGCAGATGGTGACAGCGCGGCACCACAAGCTTTCTGGCCAGTTGCGCCAACGGGGAAGCACAGAGAAAAGCTAGTGAACAACAGCCAGAGTCTGACTACACAGTCTGACAACTGTGCAGGATCCAAATATTTCTCCGGCAGATACGTAGAAAACGGGAACCTGGTAGAACAGTTTCGGGCAAACCATAGTCAGACAGAAGTGACACAGAGTGAAAGTACAACTGTAGGAGCCACCAAAGAGTCCCAGTAATGTCCCCTGAACTCTCTGAACTTCAGCTTCCTTGACATAAAATGAGGCTATGAATAATTAATACAGGGTTCTGCGAAGAACATCCTTAAAAAACATTCAATAAATATTATTTCCCTTTTGTGTCCACTGTTGGTGAGACTGGCACAATCCAGAAATACTGCCAAGATGTATTTAAGGTGTGTGTGGAAATATTTATCTCTGTCTTGGGCAAATAAAGATATTCTAACATCCAATGCTATTACATGGGAGAGGAGGGGAGATTTGGTTTCTTCCTGAATTCTAATACAGAAACCATGCTAATGCTATTGGCACCAAAAAACTGAGCAAGTTTTTAAAAAAGAGTTACTGGGGATTGAACCCAGCACCTCTACGTGGAGCTATCTCCCCAACCCTTTTTATTTTGAGACAGGGTCTCGCTAAATTGCTAATCTTCCCAGGATGGGATCAAAGTGACAATCTTCCTGCCTCTGTCTCCTAAATAGCTGGGACTACACTGTGTCCCACCACGCCTAGCTAGAACAAGAGAACTATTCTTGCAGGTGGCTTATGAGGTACCAAAACAAGTTTAAAGGAAGAGCCTTAAGAATGGTAATTTTGAAAAGGAATATATAAAGTTCTCTCCTTACCTTAGCAGTAAGAAAAACATTAAAATGTTCATTGAAAGACAGCACAGGATGATCTGTAATTCTTTTCAGGAATTTATCCAAAGCTTTTCTTCTGGTCTCCACAAACTCTTCTGAAAAACGATCCACAACACCTTTCACCACAAACTTCTCAGGAAGCGGCTATGAAAACATGAAGAAAATTTCAGAGTAATTGGTAAGACAGTGCAAAGAAAAAACATCAGGCTAGCAAGTAATTCCTATCACACATTTGCCCAAGAACAGTACTTCTTAGTTGGTTAGTTTTTTATATAATCATCAATATAAAAATTTGTGGAAAATACAGATGGAGCAAGCCACAACTGCTGTCAATTTTATAATGCAGAGAATAAAACACTACAGGTAGAATAGTATCTGAAACAGGAAAAGTTAACATTTATCCAATTAAGTGCAATATTACAATGCTTAATGTACAACGGAAAGAAGGCAGACAGTATCAACCATACAGACATCGATTTAAAGGTCTTAAGATTCTACTTCCAATTCAAAGGGTAAAAAAGTTTGGTGAATAAAGAAATAAGAAGGTAAGTAAACTCACATACCTGAAAACTATCTTTGCTAAGCTACTTTTTTTTTTGTTCTGCTTTAGGTTTATACTCAAAATATAATTTCAGTCAGTCCCCATTCTTAAACAAACTGCTCAGTTGTACTTCTTTGAGGCCACACTGCAGGCCGTTTACAACCACCCGCCTTCTAGGGGATCTCTGAGCTTTAGTGGATTTCCCCAGCAGCCTGCTCAAATGCCTCACTGAAAGGCCTTCCTCATTGCTACCACCATGGGGAAAAATACATACAGCAAGCACAATTTGTAAAATGTTTGAGTTTTGACATGTTGAAAACAAAATCTACATTTAAAATGAGTAAATGATCTGATGGGTCTTTTCCCAAAAAATAGAGTCCAACGGCCAACACACATGAATATATGCTCAACACCATCATAGAGAAGTACAAATCAAAGCCATAAAGAGATACCATTTCATACGAGGAAAGCCATACGTTTTTTAAAAAGAAAATGACGGGGTGTGTAGCCCTGGGATAGAATACCTGCCTCGCATGTACAAGGGTCTGGTTTGATCCCTAGCATCACAAAAAAATTTTAAAGTGTGCAAAACTTTTAAAAAGGGAAAAAAAAAGTATTGGTGAAGATATGGAGAACCAGAATCCTTACTACTGCTGGGAATGTACAATGGTACAGCCACCGTGGAAGAAGTTCCTCAGCAAGTTAAATACAGTTACCGTAAGACTCAGCAATTCCACTTGTAAATACATGCCTGAAAGAACTGAAGGCAAGTGTTCAAAAAGTTGTACACAAATGATCATAGCAGCCCTAAATACAATGGCTGAAAGGTGGAAATAATCCAAATGTTCAACAACAGATGACTGGATAAACAATGGGATTTATTTATTTATTTGTTTGCTTGTTTGTTTGTTTGTTGAGACAGAGTCTCACTGTGTAATTGAGACTGACGTGAAACTCACTCTGTAGCCCAGGCTGGTCTCAAACTCACAGCGATCCTCCTGCCTCAGCCTCCCGATCGCTGGGATTACAGGTGTGCGCCACCACGCTCGGTAACAGTGGGATTTAAAAAGGATAAAGCACTGAAACAGGCTACCTCATGGAAGAATCCTGAAAACTCATGGTAAGTGAAAGAATCCAGATACAAAAGGCTATACACATATGATTCACCTATGTGAAATGTCAGTCATAGGCAAATTCATAATAGAAAACTAATGGTTGCTGGGGATTAGAGAAATGAGGAAATGAGGAGTAACTGCTTCATGGTTACAAAGTTTCTTTCTGGAGTGATAAAATTTTTCAGAAGGTGATAATGGCTACACAACATTGTGAATGTACTTGATGCCACTGAACTGCAGACTTTAAAATCATCAAAATAGTATGTATTGGGCCAGGGATTTAGCTCAGTGGTTCTGCCACCTGCCTCGCAAGTACAAGGTCTAGAGTTTGATCCCCAAAAATATATTTATTTTATATTATTTTGTTGCCATGATTACAAAAGCATACTATATCTCTAAATCATAAAGCATAACAATAATACTAGTACCCATTAATCCCCTACTCAAGCTGACAAACACAACAAGCACCACTGACAAAATTCTCCATGGGCCAGGGATTTAGCTCCGTGGTTCTGGCATCCGCTTTGCATGCTCAAGGACCAGAGTTCAATTAAAAAAAAAAAAAAAAAAAAAAAAAAAAAAAAAAAAAAAATTCCCTGTCTCCAACCCCTGATTGGATATCTACTTCTACCGATCCTCTCTGAGGGAAGCACAATCCTAAACCTTTTCTTCACTGTCCCTATATTTTATAATTTGTCTTACTTGTTTTTGAGATTGAAAAAAATAGAACTATTGTCACTCAAAACTATCTTTCTGGGTTTGAGCTCCCTCGATGTGTGCGAAGCTGTGGGAGAATCATTTTATAGCTCTGTAGTGCTGCATATATACCTGAATGAGTCACCATCGGTCCATCTACTCTCCTGACCCTGCACATGAGAATGCTTTACAGATTTCCAATACAGATTTCAGTATCTTGGGCACATATGCAAGTCTCCACAGGGAATAAACCAAGCCAAGGACGGCCAAGTCAGAGTATTTGTGCTTTCTTAGTCCTATAAAGACAAGGGCATTAGGGCCGGGGATTTGGCTCAGCGATTCGGTGGCCTGCCTTGCAAGCGCAAGGACCTGAGTTCAATCCCCGGTACCAAAAAAAACCAAAAAACGACAAGGGCATGCTTTGTCTTTTACTATGTTCAATGGTAAAGTAGTACATTTTTCTAATGTTAAACCAACCTAGCAGCTCAAGTTTAAAATGGATAAATTAAAAAAAAAATCCTCAAACCCCATAAAATGGCACGAAAATATTTTTCTTTTAAATTATAAACTCTCAAGTATAAAAGACACCAAGTGGTGGGGCACGCCTGGAATCCCAGCACTTGGGAGGCTGAGGCAGGAGGATCGCTGTGAGTTCGAGACCAGCCTGGGCTACATAGTAAGTTCCAGGTCAGTCTCAACTACACAGTGAAACCCTGTCTCAAAAAGC